TATTGCCATTATCAATGATCAGATAGAAGGGTTTTGTGTTGCATTCATGTTTTTATAAACATTCAAAGAATTATGGGCTGTCACGTCCTTTACATGATCAATCAAAGTGCACTATAGCCTCAAGGTAACGACCACCAGTCACTGTGATTGTATGTATTGACGTGTGAAATGAATCCATATATTGTATAGCTGTAATGAACTCTGAGATAAGAAGCGGCTGAGACAGATAAAACTTTTCATCAAGCGAAACAACATGCAAACCCATTACATTCAGTGAAATGGCACAAAATGCCCAAGACTGTTGCTAAAAATATCATTTCAACTAGTGGAGCAAATTCGGTGTCATACCACCCATGTAAATGGGAACTGGAGTGAGGGAGGAGTTTTACTAGGCCTCAAGGATGGAGGAGGCCTGTGCTGTTGTCAGAGGAGGAGAAACAGGAAAGATGGTGGCTACTGGAGGTTCCTGGAACCTAGAGGACCTCAGGAGCAAGTCTGGTGTCATTCCTCAGGAGAATTTGTGTTCATTCCTGCTCATCTGTTACTCAAATTACTATTCACTGTACTACAAATGGATCTATACTGAGATGCTAAAAAAGGTCTGGTGAGTCTGGAGTCTATGTCTGTACTACCCTGGATGTTTAGAATCCCAATACCCTCTCTCCCCAGTGTGAAGATGTTAATAAAAGTTATTCAGCATTGCATAACTGGAGAGGATACCAGCTTTGTGGGCACTAGAAGAGGGTAGCTGAAGACCAAATCCCCTAGACAACTAGTGATGACCCGGGTTATTCCAGCGGCTCCTTCGGGGGTGAGCACTACACAAAATAAAAATAAATATTTTGGCCGTTTTTCAATTGTATCCCAAGGCATGTTGTGCCATATTATATGTCAATAACAATACATACATCTGCCTGATTTGGTCCAATAAATATATGGTGGTAGATAAATACAATTTGATAATAAAATATAAAAGATAATATAATAAATAACAAGAAGGTATACAATGAAAATCCTGCAACTTGAAATAAAAACAATTTTCCATACTAAACATCTATATAGGGTACAAAAAAAGTACATAAGTAACACAAGCATCTGCTTGATTACCTCCACTATGTTACAAACAAACATTTATGAGGCGCATAATCCAATGGGGCAGTGCAAAGGCCCATAGTGATGTGCAAAGTGCAGTAAACTAGAACAGCCAATCAGATTTAATCTCTGAATGCAAGCAACTGCAAATATTAAAAGTTGATTTGTGATTGGTTTCTGTGGGTTGTTGTAGACCATTGTCCTTTTAGGTACTTCTTTGGCTAGAAAGAAAACAGCAAAAAGATCTAACACAATTTTTCATTTTTCACAAAGCAACCTGCTATATACAATGCCACAACATAAAACATAGGTAAGGCTTTATTCTATAACGAGTGCTAATTCTTAATTGTAGGGACACATAGCGGCCAATGAGAAGTCATATTATTCAGGCCTGACTTTAGAAAAATGAATTCTGATTGGTTGCAATGAAATATTAGGTTTAGGGCCGGTGCACACCTATGCGACACCCCACCGCGTGGCAAGTACCTTTTTTCTGCGATACACGACACGCAGCTGTTTTAGCCGTGTGTTCAGAAGCACAGGCGGAATCGCGGCAGGAAACCGCCCAATCCGCCCCGGCGCGACTGGGGTGCTATTGGAAAATAATGGCACCCACAGCACAATCGGAGCACACCTATACGACTCCTGACCGTGCAGAAATCCGTGCGGAATCGTGCACGAGGCCAATGTGATGTTTATAGGATAGTATTGTAAGTATACAACTAAATATCCCTACAATGTTGTAGCTCTGACAATAGCCAATAATCATGCAGCATTTAGAACTTAAAGGAGAACTATGGGGTCAGGGCTTTTCCCCCTAGTTCTCCTTAGGGTAACGGGAGGACACAAACTAGCATCCTCCCGTTACCCTAAGTTCAGTATACCGCGGGCTACAGCGATACTGAGACTCCGCAGCCGGAGCGGATCCCGACATCGATGTCGAGATCCGCACAGCTGCGTGAGTGACAGCTGGCTCTGCCTATCTAGAGGCAGAGCCAGCTGTACCCGCCCCCTCCCCCGTCCGTTCTGCCAGTCAGCGCTGTGGATCGGAGCGGGGGGAATCCAGCCCCTCCACTGTCACGGCAGAGAGCCGTGACAGGATCGAGAGGTGAGCGAACGCCGGTATCGAGAGGTGAGCGAACACCTCATTGTCACAGGTCGGCTAGAACTATGAGGTGAGTGAAAAGCACTCACCTCATAGTTCTCCTTTTAAGGAAGCAGTGTTATGGCTTTTCTGTTTCTCTTCTTTTTGTAATGTGCAGAGCTGCACAATCCTACCCTAGGAAAAAGAATTCCGGAATCTTAAATAGCCCCACAGGTTTCTTGTTAGCACATGATCCAAGTGTGAAAAGGCTTTCGGCTCTTCTACTGATATCTATGGAATGGTTATAATAACTAAAACAAGGTCTACTTATTTATTAAGGGCCTTCTTCCCCTTTCTAAAAAAAGCAGTGGGAGTTGGGGAGGGGGTAGTTGATATACCATCCCCCGACTTCTGTCCATGGCACTAGGCGCGGGTAATGTTGCCATGTTTCCAGTGAGATCCCAAGGAGTGTTGAGTAGCCCAAATCTGGCAAAATAACAATACTGCACTGTGCTTTGGTATCATCTCCTGAGAATTGGGCTACTTGGCTTTCCGTAGGATCTCATAGGAAGGAGAGTGACATTACCTGCTGCAGAATGGAAGCCAGGGGTAAGGTAGGTATGTCAACTAACTTTTTTACTACACTGTTTTTTTCAATTTAGGGACATAGGAACCCACAATAAATAAGTGGATCTTACTTGGGGTACAAGGTCCACTTTACACTTATTGCATTCAAGGAGATGTAGACCAATATATAACAGAAGGATTAGAGTAAAATCAATGCTTAGCGTAAAGATTCTCTTTCTGTTTAAAAATACTGAAATCTTCTGACAAATATGAAGTGCGGGAACACAGAGATGTTCTCACAAAATTACAGAAGCTTTCACAATCTTATGCTCCACCTGAATGGCAGATGTTCTGAACAGGCAAAGCTTCAACTCTTTTGGGTTGTGTTGGAACCTCCAGGGCCCTGCATATCATACTTGTCAGCATCTTTTAGTATTTTTATTCTTTATATTTTATTCTTTGTATATTTATTTTATTTGTTTAGTTCTGGATAGCAAATGTGAAAAAGTTAGAAAATCTGCCAGGTTTTTATTGTGATCTATGTCTCTCTGTATTACTCCTGGTGACCATTATCAGCAGGACAACAATTGATAAGAACTTCAATACTTGTTATTTGTCACCAAGCCAGGCAGTGAGAGGACATCTTCCAAAAGGGATACCATTTCCGATGACAGGTGTCACTTTCGCGAGATTTTCTCTTATTTATTTTTTTTGTCTGACAAACATGACCATGAGCAGACAATTGTCCATCCAAAACTAAAAAAGAAAAATGCTTTGGCTACAAATACACTACCATGATAAAATGCAGAAATTAACTTATAAGAGAAAACTATTAAATCATTGTTTTGGTCCTGGGTATGGGCCAAAAGAATTGCATCTTATCAGCACGTATAAACTAGAAAACATTACTATGCTTACCTCTGGGCTAACAATGAAGAACATTGGACGAATGGGCAAACATTTTAAAGTGTATTTCCATCTTCACAGCCAAATCGGGATAACACCTATGATTATTACCTATTTATAGATTATGCCATTCACAAAGCATAATCTAAAAAAAACATTTATCAAATTCTTATTGCAGTTTAAACTGATTTTACTTGGGTTAGGGTAAGGGTTAAAATGTTAGGAGGGGGTTGTGAGGGGTTTAACCCTCTCTGTACTGTGCTGGCTTATTTCATCATGATTTTTAAAGTAGATTTGAACACTGCCTCTCCTAACAAAGGGTTAAAGCCATGGTTCTCAACTGGTGGGTCGTGACCCAAAAGTGGGTCGCGAATCCCCATGTTCAGTCCACTTTTCTAGGTGAGAGGCTGCCCCTAGCCTTCCCCTAACGCAGCACTGTCCGTTCTCACACCGAGCAGCCATTAAAAATATGCTGCCCAGCGTTGAGTGTCGACTTAAGGTAGGTTGGGCTGGGGGTATGGCCACGAGGGAGCTCCATCCATACGTGCATTGCTTATAGCTCCCTCTTATGTCCTGTGCTTGGACTGGAATGACATCACATTCTGGCTCCTGGCACCTCTGCAGGTGCACATGGGAGCTGTACAAACAATGCACATATGGATGGAGCTCCATCACAGCACAGCAGCCCACACTGCCGTTCCAAAAGTGGAAATACACTTTAAGTATGCAAGAATGAGATGATGACCATCTCATGTCTATGGTATCTTTAATCCAGCTACTTCAGAACTGTAACAAAGATAGATTCAGAGAGACAAACCAGCTTCTCCTATAGATTTTTCTTTATCCTGCTCTAGAAGGGGAAGCTGGTCGGCCACTGCTGGAATCCCAGCCAGGTCTTTCAGTCATTATATGATTAGAGAGGAGTAGACTGATTAGGCATTGTCTGCGAATTTAAAGGATCAAGTGTACTTCCAGGTTAAATGGGATTCCCAGAACCATCTGAATATGTATGAGTTAATCTTCACACTCCTCAGCGAATTATACACTGACCTTACACTCACATATTCATGAACATCAGCCTGCCATTTTAACCTAGAAAGTATCATAGCTGCACGGTTCACCTGCCATTTCACAAAATTCACCTGAAAACGTTCATCTCTGATACAATAATACGACCAAAAAAATCCAATACCAAGTAGTTGTTAAAACTCTGACATCATTTTAAAAATGTGTGTGCACACGTTATTCTCAGCATAGACAGAACAACACATAGAGAATGTAAAAAGAGCGATGAGTTAATGTATGTAGGTACAATTCCACACCTGGAAATAGAACCCGCTGAGAGGCTTACCTTTCTCACTCACACTTTCACTCTCAATCTCAACATCGTCACAACTCGTGTACTCCGGTGTTGATGCCAGCTCTTCTTCTGAGCTGCTCAACGAGATCTGACGCGTTTTACCTCCCTTTTTCGTTTTATGAGGCTTGGGCGGTGGGGGCCGGACGGATTCAGACTGGTCTGAACTAAGCGAGTCATTCCTAAGCATGGTTTCCATTTTTTCTCTTTTGGTTTTCCTCACCGCAGAACTTGGATCCAAGTGGTGCTGTTTACATAAAGAATCAGTGCGCCTCAGCTCTGGCCTATCGTTAGGAATGGGACTCCTCCTAGGAGTTGGGGGACTATGATTTGAGTTCCTTTGTCGACCAGGACTTGGCCCCTGCACATCTCTAGTTCTTTCTATAGAATAAGAGCGTTGACTCTCCATGGCCGCCCTACGTTCAGATGCAGACCTTTGCCGTGACGGTCTGTCTAGCCTCAGCATTGACATCCGAGACTCTTCTAGCTCTGTGTGAGCTAGAGAAACGTCACTATGTCTCCTTTCATGTCGCGCCCGTGAAACCTCCGCATGGATGCGCATCTGTTCTTCGTAAGGTTGAGGTTTTACCGGATATCGAGCCAAATTGGGGTCACTCCTATACCTTGCTTGATACTCTTCCTCCCGCCTTTGTTTTTCATATTCATCCCTGTCCTGAATGTCCTCCTCATCTACCGAATACTCATTAGAACGCCTCCGACTTCTCCGGTAATCACTGTGCTCAGGTTCATCATACATCTGAGGCCCTCGCGGCGATCGCCGGTCAGAGAAATCTGATGGTGATCTAGGCATTGCGCTGTCTGATGTAACATACTGTGAATGTTCCCCTATATCGTCCGGAGAGTCGTATCTTCGATTCTGGTCTCTGGATATGGATGGACTTCTTTTCCTGTAACATCAAACAGAACTGTAGTTACTCTTTGCAGACAATGTGATCTTATATATGCACTATTAGTTGACATATTATGGGCAAATAAAGACCATTTAAAGGTTACAGCCCTGTTTTTCCACATTTTAATTAAAGTGTATCTAAACCCAGGAACAAAAATAAAGATGTAATGACTGGTAAGCTGGTAAGCAGCCCTAATAACATTGCTTGAGATTTCAGTGCAACAGAGGTAGAATGCACAAGAAGTTACAGGCTCACTAGCTTTCTGAACACAGGATCAACAGATATATTTTTGCACTTACTGAACAGATATAAGAAAATGTTTTCAATGGTTAAAAGAGAACTATGGGGTAACCTTTTTATCCCATAGTTTTTTTAAGGGTTACAGGAGACAATATGCTAACGTCCTCCCGTGACCCAAAGCTCAGTATATAGCGAGCTATTGCTCACTATATACCGAGATCACCGCAGCCGAGATGGATCCTGACAATGCTGTTGAGATCCACCCAGCTGCATGAGTGACAGCGGGCTCTGCCAATCTAGAGGCAGAGCCAGCTGTGCCTGCCTCCTCCCCGTCCGTTTCTCCACTCAGTGCTGGAGGATCGGAGCGGGGGGGGGGGGAAATCCCTGTGGGGATCGGTGACTGACAGTCACCGCTCTCTGCAGGGACATGATCAGAAAGTGAGCGAGCGACGGTATAAGTTCGCTCACTTCCCGAACTATGAGGTCAAGTGAAAATCACTCACATCATAGTTCACCTTTAAGTTAACAGACCAAAAGAGAGCAAATCCAAGTTAATTGTTAGGGTTTACATGCACTTTAAGCTGAACCTTTCTTAAAAGATCAAGTCATTCCTCAAGTAACCTCAAATACACTGCCATCAACATCTAAAGAACAAGAATTTTCACTGGTGCAAAAGGAATAGCCGTTTCATAACAGAATGGGGCAACATCTGCTCTGCCTCTGGTGTAGTTCCCAGTAAAATTCTAATCTTTGTCTATGTATGACATTTAGAATTACCCACCGGCCCATAACAAAAGGCAACATTTCAGGCATTATCCTCCCTTATCAGTCTAAGTTGGAACAATCATCTTTATTGCAGATTTCTTTGCTCCGACTGCTGAGGCTCTGATTCCAGCTTATTGAGTGAAATGTGTTGTAGCTTGCTGTAATCTATCACAAAGCCTCAGGATTAGAGGGAAGTGCAATAATGCCTTGCTGAAGAAGTTTCATCATTTGTCAAGTTGGTAGTGGAATGGAACACAGCTCCTAGGACAAACTCCATCTCCTTTATCATTAGTTGAGAGAGCAATAATATCTACGGATATTACAAGTACGTTATAGTTCAGCTGTGAACTGACTGATATTGGGTTGTGTTTGTAATGCTCAGAGAGCAAACTGTGTTGTAAGGTCAGATGTCAATGTAGAGAAATCCTTAACCCTAAAATAGTCTTTCTCAAAGTGTGAGAATTCTTAGCAGGTGATTAACTGCAAAGCTCAGGATTAATGTGTGAACACTGAGTATTCTTTCAGTACACGCTAGCATTGTAGTGAAGGGTGCTCCTGCCTCTGGGAGTACACAATAGGCAATTACCCTGAACCAAAATTGGCAGTATGATGGACATGTACGTTGTAAGCAACTTCTAAATTCTTTAAGTATGCTGTGGTGAGTCCCTTACTGGAGCCAGGAGTTGTTCTTTGGGCAATGTCCAATCAGCAGCGAGAGCTGCATGGTCAGGGAACTGGCCATAATCATTCTCTTTTAGGTTTCATTTACACCTACCATATTAGGTACATTTAGGAATTCCTGTATCAGGAACTTGTGAATTCCTGCAGCAGGAATCCAACATATGTCATTTAGAAGAAGCAGCTGTCATCCATTCAAGTTAAAGGAGAACTATGAGGTGAGTGATATACACTTCACACTCAATAAACTCATTGTTAGAGCTGACTTGTGACATTGAAACTGTCACATGTCGGCTCTATAGTTCGGGAAGTGAGCGAAACACATACAGTCGCTCGCTCACTTACAAATCATCTCCCTGCAGAGAGCAGTGACTGTCGGTCACCACTCCCCGCAGGGATTCCCCCCTCTCCGATACTTCAGTGCTGACTGTGGGAACGGACTAGGTAGGGGGCGGGCACAGCTGGCTATGCCTCTAGATAAGCAGAGCCCGCTGTCAATCAGCCAGCTGGGTGGTTCTCCACAGTATTGTCGGGATCCGTCCCGGCTGCGGCTCTCTCAGTATATAGAGGGCAACAGTTCGCTATATACTGAGCTTTGGGTCACGAGATGATGTTAATATACAGGGTCCTCCCGTGACCCTAAAGAGAAATATGGGATAAAAAGGTTGCCCTATAGTTCTCTTTTAATGATTGGGTGACAGCGGCTGCATTGAAAGTGGCAGTGTGCTGGCACTCCGCATGTAATCCTTTTTGGTACGATTACATGCGGTTATGAAGAGATCACTACTCCTGGATGGACGATCGATGTGTCTGAGGCTTCAAAAAGGGACTCATCGCAGGAAGGCTAAAGAATGAATAATTTTATGAGATACTTATCACATTGCAATTAAAGTAGACATATGGTCAAAGGCAAAAAAGTGACATTGGTGTGAGGTAACACATATCTGTAGGTGCTACACAATATTTAGCATGCATGCACTTAGCAGGAAAAAATATACCTGATGTGAGCTCCACTTAAAATAACCTTAGGTGTAATAAAGGGAAATTCCAACTTTTCAAAAAGATACATATATATATTAAATGCAAAAAGAAAAAATGTGCAATTATTGTTTTTGTGCACTGGAACCGGTAAAACATTACAACCACAATTAGTGGATAGCAGGTGCAATGCTCTCGCTCCTGCAGACACTTTCTCCCCTCCATGTCCGTTCGAAGGTATGGACATTCCGTAACACGGAAAGCAGGAAAAATGAATGAACTACAAGAGCGGTGACTTGTATTCCTTTAAGAATTACACATCCATCTGCTACGTTGCCTGATGGGCTGACTTGTAGTTTTTCCATTCACAGATCCCGTGAAAGTATCTATGAATGGATGATGCGGTTGTGTGGGAGGAGCCATGCACAACGGTTCCATAATACAAATTGAACACAAGCATGCAAGGAGAGTAACCCTGTGGTTCAGGTAAATTGTATGATGACTATCTTTTATGTTACATCATAAATTTGGGTGTAACATGAAACATGGTCAGAAAGTTCGCCTTCAACAGGAATGTAATGTACTATAAAGCAGGAAATAGAATTGTATCACGCAAGAAGTAACTTCTAAGGTAAGGACATTTGCAGGAACATAGAATGTTAAGGGAAAGAACGTCAAGGAAAACAATGGTGTCTATATTAAAATCTGATGTAGGCATATAACAAATTAAAAAGCAACAATGTCATCAGGAAATGAAGCAACAACCAAATAAGTTTAACTAAATAGAATATAAAATGACAAAAAAGTCTAAATAATGGCACATTTAATGTGCAGAAAAGTCCATTTCCGCAGAGAAACAGACCTATACTATAAACTGCACAGATTTCTGCTTGCCAGTTATATGATCCCCAGATTAGTCTTAATCCTTCAGTAGTATACATGATGAAAACTATTTTTAGTGTCAGATGTTATTAGAATATCTATATAAACCCAAAGGTTGCAGTCACTCATTTGAAGAGGACCTATACCCCTGGAAACTGAAAATAAGAACAGCAAATCGCAAAGACAAATGTCTCCTTTGTGCTAAAGTCCTTCCTATTCTAAACCCTCCCTGGCCCAGGTCACAGGACCAATTTCTGAGAGTCCCCCAAAAAAGCTAATGAATCTCACTTTCTGGCGGAGTTGGCCAATCAGATGCTTTAACTCCAAGAACATATAAAAGAAAATCTCCTTTTTGGAGGAAAAAAAATCTCCTTTTTGTGATCTCCATTTGGGGAAAGTTATTTTCTGTGATATAAAAGAAAATCAATGCATTTTTGTATCTATTCAAAAAATCATTCATGCGTACAAATATCTTCTTTTTTTAAAAAAAAATCTTGGATAGAGTGTTGAGCCATCGGGACCCCTGTATGTTCTTTATTGCTCCCTCTGTTTTTTGTTGGGATCATTGTCAAACAGGTCACAGCTCCGGGCAACAAGCAGGCAACAGGGCTCCGGACAAAAAGCAGGGAACAGGGCTCCGGACAACAAGCAGGGAACAGGGCTCCGGACAACAAGCAGGGAATAGGGATTCATAGCAAATGGCAACAGGCTACTTTGGCAATATCCAGACTGCAGGGAGGGATTAAATACCCTCCCGGGTAGTGATTAAGCTGGGAAACGGCCACAGGTGAGGACTGAACATGCAGGTTCCAGCACCACCCAGTGGTGGTCTGGTACCTGACATCTCCTGTCTGCCTTGAAACACCTGTAGGTGAGCGCAGGAACTGCAGGACCTGGTTCCTGCGCCACCTGGAGGTGCTATGGTCCCTGACAATGACCAAAAAAATGGGCAGAGGATTGTAATCAACAGTCCACCGTGTACCAAAAACAAATGTGCAATAAGAATAAACAGCAGCATTTGCATCCATTCTCCCACATTCTAGAATATAAGATTCTTTATAAAATTAGAGATGACTATTGAGTGAGTTCTATGTTACACAGCAGTCCTGTAAGTGAATGGTTACCTAGTGGATTTTCAAAGCATGGTATTGCTTGCAGCAGGTGGGTGGAACTGGCAGCTCACCTAAGAAATCCCACTTTCTGAACCCCTAGAGATATGGAAAGTATGGAAGGGTGCTATGGGTGGACTCAAATAACAATCACCTACCTAGAACTATCCTGTTACAATAGCCCTTATCTGAAACTTTATTCAGTGTCTTCCGTGTGAATTAATTTATCAATAAGATAAAAAGTTAGAAATTCTGCTGTAATCATTCATAGACAGTATTCTTCCCATGAGCTTGAATTGAAAACCTTGAGATGTCAAGAATGAGCTATGAATTGACAGCTGATGC